GTGGAGCTATAGGCGCCGAGCCTGTTCCTCCAATGTTAAAGAAGATAACCTGGTTCAAGCAGGATGAGGTTTGATGTGGCACCTGACATGGCTAGCGTGTAGTACTGCGGGGTTTGGATCAGGTCACTGTACCTTAAGTTGTCACAGCTGTTGGTTCTAACATCGGCTCCCATTGTCTTGGATAAATGGATGGATCCCTTGAGCCTTCTTCCTGGTATGGAGCTTTTGAGCTTCTTGCTGTTCTTTAGCATCTCCAAGTTAACAGAGATAACTTGAATCAGTCCAGTGAATTACTGGGGAAATTTTGAAACTTCTTTTCCATGAGATATGAAGATTTCTCATTAAATACTTCAATTAGCTTGAAAATCCCTGTGACCCCCTAGACACAAAGCTTCAAATGGTTCAAAAGTCTTATTTTCTGGTTATGTTTCAAGATAGTGACTGTATTGAGCAAAGTATTAATCATCTTGACTATATTAGCAGCTACCCTCTGCCAGTAGAGGGCAGTGTTTGTCCTCCATTTACTTAGTGGAATTCTTGCTCTCTCCAGCTGTTTTAAGTACTATCCTCTGCACTCAGCATCCACAGTGTCGCCACACCTTACCACCTACTTGGGTTATAGAGGTTCTGTGATCAGTGTGCCCAGTTAATATCCTAGTATATGGAGCAGAAATCTTTTCTGGATTTCAAGTGGAAAATAGGACCTCTTGATTTATGTACTCTGTACTCTTAAGCTGTTCCCTTTTTACATCTCCTGAGCCTACGTGGATGACATCCCCAAATGGAAGGGTATATAGAGATTTCAAAATGCAGCTGTGAACTCTTGGACCTATTTTGAAACAGGTGTTGCCTTTGGAAATAGCCTTCCAGCTCAAAAGCCTTATGTCTTGCATAAGCAGCATGGATGGGTGTTTGCACACAATGAATACTGAAAGTTGTTTTCCAGGTAATGTGGTACCTTGTGATCCTTTATCTTGATGGCATGCTTCTGTTTCCCTCTATTATCTTAATGGAATAGACAGGTATACATTTTGACATGCTTTGGCTGGGTCACCACCCAGAGAAATCAGCATTACTCATGGGTGTGCCCCTGTTTCAATAGTAAAGTCTTGGACAAATATTGTGAAATAAATGTGTTGATTCTGGGGTCAGGGAGTGAGAGGGTACAGCCAGAGTTTCCATCCTAGTAGAGCAAATAATTACCTTAAAATATGATCACATAAAACGTTGTAAATAATAGTATAGTTTGCCTTCATTTAGCTCTAAGGTGGCACCCAGAAGTGATTTGTTTAGAAATCTAACTTTGGCTCGGCGCCTATAGCTCAACCGGCTAAGGCGCCAGCCACGTACACCTAAGGTGGCGGGTTCGAATCCCCAGCCCGGACCCGCCAAACA